GGGATCTTGGCAGCAAAGGAACCCCCAAGGGCTAAGAGGTTGGAATCGGGAAGGAAGAAGTAACACCCCAAGGAGGATGGGGATAAAGCTTAACCAACGGGCTGGAATGATTGACGTTTTGTTTTTCTTCAGGAAGGATGAGCCTGCTGCGAAGTGGCCTTGAACAGAATCAGACGAGTGCGAGACGCGAGCTTACAGTGCTGAGGTGTGCCTGTACTGTATCGACTGTCGACCGTTGAGCGGGCACACCGAGGACGTCAAGAGAGAGGCGTGGGGACGGACGATCAGCTGGCCGCAGTGCCGACCCCTCTCTGCCCGGGAGTCGGGAGCCCAGGGGGTGGTGATTACTGAGGACGGTGCATGGCAAAGGTTCTCGTCGCCCTCGCCCGGCTGCAGGTACGGCACTACTGTACTATACTTTGTTCTGCACTTCGTTCTGCACTTCGTTCTGCATACAGTACTGTACAGTAACTGCCACAAGAAGCTTGGTTGTCGCGGGTGTATGTATGGAGAGAGCATGGAATCTGGGCGCGTCAAAGCTGTCTGCAGCATCTCGGCCAGACTGCACAGCGCCGGATCTGCAATGCCACGCACATGTCCTGCGCGGTGCTCCGAGCTCACAGATCTCACAACGTACGTACGCCTGCTTTTCCTTCGGTGGAACATTCCGTGCGTGCAGTACACGCTCCTTTGCGCGGGCAGTGCGCTCGGGAAAACGGGCCGTGACATCTCTCCATCTTCTACATCTACAAGGCCAAAAGTGATACATCACCGGGGCCGCACGCGGCACGGCCAACAACACTCCTCTTCTTCCTGCACCTCCTCCACCTTCGGCCTGCGTGCGGCGAGGCTTGGCGGCAATGCAGAGTCAGCCCGGCCACTCACCTCTAACAGGAAGGTCTGGCGACTTTTCTCCCGCGTCGCCGAACGCCTCGGGTTGTATCCTGGGCTTGGACGCCGTGGTAGTCCCAGGAGTGGATATAGAGCGAGAGAGAGAGAGAGAGAGGCCTTGCAGGGACAAAGTCGTATACAAGCGACCGTGATAAATAACGGGCCCCCCAAGCCGTACAGCTTCATTCCTTAAGTGAAGCCTGTCGAATCTCTTTCAAGCCGAAGAGGTGAAGCCATTGTCCAGTCCAGAGTCTCCGCGTGATATTCGTTGAGCCACAGGTGAAGATGAAGCTGTCTATTCTGCTCTCAGTACTGCCGCTGCAGGCGGCCGGGTTGGTCATGCCCTTCGCGAAGCGCGCCGAGCCTGCGCCTCTGCTCCTTGCGCGCGGCGACACAGCGCTCCCCAATAAGTACATCATCAAGCTGAAGAGCAGCGAAGGCGGCGCCTCCAACGCGGCCGACGTGCCGGCGTCTGTGGGCGTCGAGCCCAAGCACCTATACGACAGGTTGATCAAGGGCTTCAGCGCGACGCTCAACGCCGAGGAGTTGGCCGCACTGCGCGACCACCCAGAGGTTTGTCTGCACAAACAAGCTCCAGTGTCATTTTGCGCGCGTCTCTGACTTTGGTCTTCGTGGTACGTCAGGTCGAGTTCATCGAGCAGGACAGCGAGGTCAAGATTTCCGAGTTTGTGACGCAACCCAACGCCACCTGGGGCATATCGCGCATGTCGCACCGCAAGCCTCATGCCACCGATTACGTCTATGATTCGAGCGCAGGTGAGGGCACCTGCGCCTTCATTCTCGATACTGGCATCAACCCGGATCTTGCGGTACGCTCAAGGCCCCGTGAATATGCGTTTGAGGCTTCGCGGCAGCTAACACGCCGACAAGGAATTCGAGGGCCGCGCCAAGATGCTCAAGTCCTATGTAGACGGTGAGCCCACCGACGGCCACGGCCACGGGACGCACGTCGCCGGAACCATCGGCAGCAAGACGTTTGGCCTTGCCAAGAAGACCAAGCTCTACGGAGTCAAGGTCCTCAACAACGCGGGCACGGGGCCCTGGTCCGACGTCATCGCCGGTCTGGAGCTCGTCGGGCGGTATATAAACTGCACCAAGTGCCCCAAGGGCGTCGTCGTCAACATGAGCCTCGCCGGGAAGAAGATCGATACCGTGAACCAGGCCGCCAAGTCGCTGGTCGAGGCGGGTGCCTTCCTCGGGGTCGCTGCCGGCAACTTCGGCGACGACGCCGCCAACTGGTCTCCCGCGTCGGAGCCGAGCGTGTGCACCGTGGCTGCGTCGACGGCGGACGACACGATGCCATACTGGAGCAATTTCGGCGAGCTCGTCGATGTCTTTGCTCCTGGTGCGAGCATCAACTCGACGTGGTTCGATGGAACGACTGTAAGTGATAGACTTGCCTCAAATCCCAAGTCCCAAGCCACTTGATGAGGAACCGGGTCGGCTGATCAAAGGCTTGTTCGTTTGCGCAGCACCTCTCGTCCGGCACCTCCATGGCCAGCCCGCACGTCGTGGGCCTGGCTGCCTATCTCGGCGCGCTCGAGGGCATCAAGGGCGGCGCCATCTGCGACCGCATCAAGGAGCTCGCCACCAAGGATGTCATCACCGAGCTGTTGAGCCCGAACACGCCGAACCTACTGGCGTTTAACGGCAACCCGTCTGGCTAGAGCGGAGACATAAATGCTGGTTTGGACTTTGCACTGATCTGTTGTCGGAGCATGAAAGGATGTAGACGGAAGCTGATGTGAGAAGAGCGGCGTTAAAGAAGGAACAGGTGTACTGTACATTGGGGAGCGCTCACGTGAGGTAACCCTGGTGTTGAGGAAGGAGGCACGGAGTCGGGCGGCCGCTGTTTCCTCCGCACTCCGCACCCCGCGGTTCCCCCCACAGCGGGGCCGGCTCAGTGACAGGCTGCCCTGGAGCCGCGAAAGCTGCCAGGGACAGGGACCGGAGCCGAGGCCCGACGAAGTCGTACATAGCCTATTAGAGGTATTACTGTTACTTAGCTTGCTTGTATACACCAAATCACCACGCTTCTTCATGACCAGCTGCTCTCCTAACGAGCTCTTGTGCCGATGGCATGTAAACACTGAACGGCATTCAATTTCCATCGTCTTTCCAGTTTCTCGAATAAAGCCAAAAGTGGTTCGTCAAGTCGCCGCAGCATCATGGCCACCGCTGCCGGACCGCCGCCTCTCACGGGCATCAAGGTCCTCGAGTTTGCCGGCCTCGCTCCAGGTAAATGCGCCACGTCCCTTGCGATCCTGTGGTGTCATATCCGCTCGAGGCCAGATGGCAGCTAACAGATAATCAAACCAAAGGGCCCTTCTGCGGCATGCTCCTCGCCGACGCCGGCGCCTCCGTCCTGCGCATCGACCGTGCACCCCGGGGCGGCCCCGGCGGCGGCTCCACGCCCGTCTCGCAGGACACGCTCACGCGGCACAAGGCCTCTCTGGCCGTGGACCTCAAGTCGCCGCGCGGGATCCGGCTCGTGCGCTCGCTCGTCGCGCGCGGCGCCGACGTGCTCATCGACCCGTTCCGCCCGGGCGTGCTGGAGCGCCTCGGCCTCGGGCCCGACGACCTGCTGCCGCTCAACCCGCGCCTCGTCTACGGCCGCCTGACCGGCTACCGCCGCGACGGCCGCTACCGCGACATGGCCGGCCACGACATCAACTACCTCGCCGTGTCGGGCGCCCTGGGCCTGCTCGGCCGCGACGGCGACACCCCGCACCCGCCCGTCAACCTGCTGGCCGACTTTGCCGGCGGCGGCGCCACCCTCTTCCAGGGCATCCTCCTCGCGCTGCTGTCGCGCGCCTCCACGGGCCGCGGCCAGGTCGTCGAGGCCAACATGGTCGACGGCGCGTCCTACCTGGCCACCTTTCCGCGCTTCATGCTCAAGAGCCCGCTCGGCGGGAGGGGTCGCGGCCGCAACCTCCTCGACGGCGGGTGCCCGTACTACGACACCTACGCCACCAAGGACGGGCGCTACGTCTCCGTCGGCGCCCTCGAGCCGCAGTTCTTCGACGCCCTGCTGCGCGGGCTGGGTCTCGAGGGCCAGGGCTGGGAGTCGCGCCGCTACGACCCGGATGAGTGGCCCGCCCTGCGCCGCGTCCTGACTGACGTCTTCGGCAGCAAGACGCGCACCGAGTGGGAGCGGGTCTTTGACGGCACAGACGCCTGCGTCGCCCCCGTCCTCGAGTACGCGGAGCTCGAGACGGATCCCGCGCGTGAGGGCGACCAGCGGCCCGCCGTCACCCTGCGCGCCACGCCCTGCCTTGCCGTCAAGCAGCAGGGTGACGCGCCCGGCGACCCTGCCACCTACGGCCAGGGACGCGGCGTTCCAGGCGACGGCTACGAGGGCGCCGCTCTGGCGCCTGGGGAGGGCGCTGAGGAGGTGCTCGGGGGCTGGTTTGGGTGGACCAAGGGCAAAGATTACGATGTCACGGATGGGGCATATGAGTTGGCCAGCTCAGACTCCAAGTTATAATTCGATGCCCATGTGGAGGGTTTAAAGCCCCTATTTTTGTATATAACCCCCTGGCAGGTCTGGGACATCACGCAACGTACAGAGAGCCGACAGCGCCTCGTGTCATTATCAAGGTCAAATAAAATAAATGCCTCTTCGTCTAGGTGATCTGCAGCACGACAAACACACAAGAGCCCTCCGCCGAGGCGCACCTCCTACACCGGCCTCGCCTTTCCGCGTCCCGCCCCGCCCACCCACTCGCTCGTGGCATCTCCCCTGCCCTGCTATCCACTGGCTCTCCCCGTGGGACTCATTACTCGTATGTCTACTCTAAGCCTGTGACCGCCCGTGGTATCGAAAAAGAAATGGGGAGAGTCCTCGCGTTCGTCAGGAGTGCGCTGGCGGTCCTCGACAGGACCCCATCATGCGTCGTGCCGAGCCGTCGCCGACGACGAGCCGGGAACGGTGTGATTCGATTACTGGACTTGGCTGACAATTTCACTGGCCTTGCCCAGCGACTCCACCATCTGCTGGCACTCTTTCCTCCGGCGGATGGTAAAGTCGCTCTCCTTGAGCAGATCGTCGAGCGTGTCGGTCCGATACATGTTCTCCAGCAACTCGCGCTGCATCTCGTCCTTGGTGAACCTAAGCCCTGTCAGCAAACCTGTCCTTCCTACAATGGCAGGATTGTACGTACTGAACCAGGGTGAGCATAATGGCCTTGGGGACCATGTCAATCATGGTGCGCTTAACAATGTTGTAGTACGACGAAATGAGAAGCTCTGCGCTCGTTATTAGTAAAAGCCACGCAGCTGCTTTGTCGATCAACGTACTGATGACTTCAACCTCAATGTTCTCACGCTCGGAGAGAGTGCCCGAGGCCTTGAGGGTTGGCGGGGGCGCCTCCATCGCAGCGGCCTTCTTCTTGTTCTTGGCGGCAAAGAAACTGCCAAAGAAGCCCGAGTTCGCGTTGCCGTCCACCTCGGGCACCGTCGGGCTGGCTGCTCTGTTCGGGGTGGAAGACTGTGGCAGCGGCTTGCCGGTCTTGGGGTCGACCTGGACGGGCTTGGTGGGGTTGTAGCGCTCGTTGACAATCGCCATGGCCTGGCAGTTGCATTAGCGTCAGCTCCTCAGCGCGAGATGACAATACCTACTCGGTGACCGTTCAAGAAGTCGGGATGGCCTGTGTTGATGTAGCACGCCTCCATGGAGACCAAATCCCGGACGAGCTTGTTCGTGGGCTCCATGGCCTTCTTGAAGAAGGCGATGACCACGCCGTGCATCTTCTCCTTCAGCCCTGGGTATCGCCGGTACAGCTGCTTCCCGAGAAGCTGTGACAATATCCGAACTAGTTCGTCGTACACCAGTGACACGCATTTCAGACTGGGGTCCTCCATTCGCTTGATCTGCTGCTTGACGATGAGCTCAAAGGCAGTCGTGCCGACGAAAAGTGCCGGCGAGGATCCGGAGGAGTTGTAGAGTATGGTGCGGATGTCGACATCCTTGACAACGTCGAAGGGATCGATGGCCTTGACGCCGTTGGAGTAAAGCTCGTGGAAGACAAAGCTGATACGGGCACCACCTGAGAGTTCCGTACTCGACAGCTCCGTGTTGTTGCCGTCGAGGACCGTGCGCCACTCATTGGTGAACTCGGTGATAATGTTGAGGACAATGTTGGCACTGTTGCCAAGCATGGAGGGCCCCAGGCTTTCCAACTCGCTCGTGTACTTTTGCAGGGAGCTTGAAATGCGCGCCTTGATGTCGGGAAGGGTCTGCTTGATGTGCATCATGAGAATCAGGTTCAGCTTGCGGGCCAGGTATGGAGTGCCGCAGTATGAGCTTTTGTTGCGGTAGGCCTTGTGGTTCTCGAAAAAGTTCTTCTCGGCTTCCAACGCCTGGTTGATAGCCTTCTTGTTGTCGATATCCCGCTGGCCGCGGTTGACCACGGGCACGTATCCTAGCCGCAGGGGGATGACGCGGTTGGACAGGATGTCAATGACGTCGGTTCCCTCGTCCATAAGGTCGACCTTGGTCAGGACACCGATGGTCCTCTGGCCCTCCGGGTCGACCTCGCGGGCGAGCTTCAAGCCGTCCGAGTTGGCCAAGTCAATGTTGGCAGCCGTCACGGCCAGGATGATGGCGTTGGACTTGCCAATGTACTTGAGCACCATCTCGCGGATCTGTCGCTCGATATCGCGGGGCTGATCGCCGACCGGGACCTTGGTCAGGCCGGGCAAGTCGACCAAGGTCAGGGTGAGAACGTTGGGAGAGTAGATGCGCAGGTTGATCGGGGCGGCCGAGATGCCGGCGTTCTTGCCGACCTTGGCCTCAGTCTCCCGAGCAATCTCTTCTCGGATCTTGGTGAAGTCGTAGTATTTTTGACCCGGGATATGGAGGAACTCTCCCCACTCGTCAGGGTTGGCGGCCTTATCGGTGGCGGTGGAGATGTCATCTTGCTTTACGCCGTTGGACTGCGCGGGGCGGTTGATGAGCTGAAGGACGAGGGGCCGCCGTGTCACGATACCGGAGCCTCGGGGAAGGCTAAAAACATTGGTATTAAAACTCGCCACGCGCGAGATGGGCTGCGGAGATACTCACAAGTCGCGGCCGACAATATTCTCGAGCACGGAACTCTTGCCGCTTGACTGACTGCCGACGACGGCGATTTGGGGGAGGTCGATGGGGTTGTTGACACCCACTGTCGCGAACACATCCTGGAGCTTATTTACGAGCCTAGGGGAGGCCACAGTCAGTTCACGTCGATGGCGCGGCGTGGGCGAGGACTCACTGGATGAGGGCGGGATCCGAGATGCCCCCCGGCGTGACGAGGCTGCCGCTCATGATCGCTTGTACGATGACTATTGTCTCGGTGGTGTTCGATCGGCGTCGGTTATCCCGTCAGGGTGAACGTGGCCAGTGTCGCGGCGCAGTTCGTCGGTCGCTGAGCGGGCGAATGTCGAAGGAGGGAGAGCGGTTCTCCTTAAAACGGTCGCGGGAGGGGCTAAACGTCGACGGTGGCGCGCCGTACTCGAGCAGCTGGGGTGCGCTGTCTCGCTGGTGGTGGAGCAACAGCAGCGCAGTGTGAGCCAAGACGGTGAGGCGAGGTGAGTCGAGGAAGAGCGAGGGCGGAGTGGTGATGATGTTTACAGTCCGTACGGGGTTGCTGGGATGGAGAGGACTCGCAACGCAACGCGGGACGACGACACATGTGGTTTGTAGAGCCCAATAGTGGAGCGCTGGGGAGGGCACTAAAGTTGCGTCGCGGCCCTGGCGGGCTGGCGCCTGCGATTTGTTGGCGACGCCACAGGTGGCGGAGTCGATGGATCCATCCCTGTGCTGCCAGCAGTCAGGCATTGGCAGTTGAGGACTCAGGCAGCGTTCAGCAGCAGCCCAGCAAGCTCGGCAATCAGCAGCAGCATCATCAGTCCTCAGGAGGGGCACGTGACCTTCCCCAAAACCTCCGAGTCTGACGGACCCCTGGCAACGACTCATGCGAGCACGCTGAGCTCTCCAGTGAAGGGGACTTTAATTTGGGAGCCTGGCAGGGGCAGACGTCACCATTTGATGATGCGGCCCGCTTGCTGTTGCCCTTCGTCTCGCTTCAGTGTGCTGGCTGCTGCTCATCAGTCCATCTCGCCGGACATGCGGGAGGCAAAGGAGGAAGCTTTGTCGTGGCTGGGGGGCCAGATGACGCGGATTATCAGCACGAATCCCGCATCGCCCGTCACATGGCGCTCAAGTCGCCTCACTAGCAGGTACCAACGGTGATCGCACACATAGAGCATCGAGCCGAGCCCGACCGTCTATGAGACATGGCAGGAAAATGCCAGACGGGCATGTTCGACGCCACGGAGCAAAGATGCAGACATATCCCAGCAGAAGATGCCAGTACTTCGTAGATAAGCAGCGGCACCGGCCTTTAAGGGCCCGGTCGCGGAGGAGCTGTCCGGCTAACACGCGAGTCGTCTCCCGCCAAGGCTTAGAGATCGTCGTGCATGCGGGTGTTGGGACATGCCTCTTTTATCCGATCCAAGTCACTTGACGAGCCCTTTTGGGGGTTGGTGCGGCGTCGGCACCAACGAAAGGCGAGCCTTTGCTCCTGTCCTGGGTATCTCGTGTCCTGGCGCCTTCGGGGTGCCCTGGAGTCGCTCCTTGGGCCGGGTTCTCTCTGCCAGGTCCATGCAGGCGGGGTCGAGCGACCATCTATCTCGTCCTTGCATAGCTCGCATTTCCTGGAGGGCGATCCGTCGGAGAGATGCGGGCACCCGAGTGGAGGGTTGGCTGCCATGCCCATGAACTGCTGGAGCGATGCCCATCGCCCGGGTTTACCCATCAGATTTGGGACTGCCCAGTCTCAGCCAGCAAGGCGCCATATGTCCCGAGGTTTGCGTGTCGGCCCCCCAGCCGGACTGGCCGGTTCTTTCGCGAAGCAGCGAGTGTCAGCGCCGCGGTGGGCGATAAGAGCGAGGGCGAGGGCGTCGGGCGGCGGCATGGAGACGTCATCGACGGCTGCCAGTGTGCTGTAGCTACAGGCGGACATCAACTGCTGCCGTGGACACTGCTGTAGTCATTAGGCTCCTCGTGTCGGTCAGAGCTCTGCCCAAGAAAGCACACCGGCGGCATCTGCTAATTAACGTCGCAGGTGTTCGAAACTTGGGGCCAAGTTACACTCGTGGACAACTGCCATCCATGGATGTCGCAATATTTCCGCCGCTGCCAAATGCAGCACATGAGGCGACGGTCTGGAGCTTCATCAGAAGACACCTTACAGTGGGGACTGGAATGGATGGTGAGGTGGATGCGCGGGGAGGCCCGCCAGCGCTGCATCAGTGCCCCCTCTCCCTCCATTCAGCGGGCTGCGACGCTGCCCAGGTGCACAGGTGGTGACGGGAGCTGCAGCTCGGGTGGCCATCCAGTGCCACAGGGCCCACCTGCACCACCTTGCACCAGACAGCAGGGCCTGCCACAGGCGGCCGTGCTATCGTCCATCCCCAGGGCAGCCCGAACAGGTTGCCCCCGCTGCAGCCGCTCCAGTGCGTGCGAGGCCTGCCCGTCCAGTGCCCGCCCTGCCTGCGCCCGCCCAGCCCAGCCCAGCCCAGCCCAGGCGCCTCCACCCAACCCGCGGCCATCCATCCCTTCCTCCACCTGGCCCAAGGAAGGCAACCTGGAGCACAGCTCCCGTGCCAGCTGCCAGCCGGTGCTAACCTTGCCTTACTCGTACGCACCTGGAGGCTAGCAGTGACCTGGGCCTAAGGCCGGCTTCGTCCCCCATCCGTCCTAGGTACCCTCGCCTCGCTCGACGACACCTCAACCCCTTCCACAACTCTGAACAAACCACTCCGCCGCTTCCACCTATGCCTCCTCAACGCACCGCCTAGTCACACCGTTCCTCCCACGACCGCCCGGCCGTCCACAGCTGCCGACACCGAGCTGCAGCAAGCAAGCCGACGCCCGGCGCCGCCCTGGGGCACCCAGCCGCCGCTGACAAAACGTCCGTCCGCTTCGTGGGCTTCACATGTGCCGTCCGCCTCTGGCTTCCTGGCACAGTCGACAAGGCCCGTGCCGGCTGCCCGCTGCTCGCTCACCTCACGACACAGATCTGACGGGCCAGGCCTCTACCTCTCCGACCTGCTACCGACACAGGCCCGAGTCCTCGCCGGCCTCCGTCGACCCTTGGCTGCTGGCCAGCTCCCTCCACCGGTCCCTCTGATCCCACCGCGGTTTCCATCCGCGGAGAGGTCGTCGTGGACCACATTCGCGACCCTCGTTCCCCCATCGACGCCTCCGACAACCCAGCCACCCCGCAACCCGCCCAGTCTTCCTCCAACACCGCCCTCTCAGCACCCATCCCCCCGAACCCGCCGCCTGACCACGATCGAGGCGCCTCTTCCCGGGCCACGGCTGCCGCGAATATAGAATCTTCGACGGCCAGAGACCCCGAGGACCTCAGCGCCCCGCCACAGATCCTGGGCCGACGACGGCGGTCCTCAACTCCGCAGACGCAGGGACACTCGGCCGTCCCATCAGCTGGGCTTGCCGCCGCTCCCGCCGCACCTGCTGGAGCCGCTGTCGAGCACCCCCCGAAGCGGAGACGACGTGATAGTATACATATGTTGGCCGACGGTACCCCGCAAGGCCAGTCCAACGGCGATGCCGCGACTCGGTCCAACGGCGATGCCGCTGCCGCGGACCTGCCGGGCGTCATGAACGGCAACCGCAAGGCGGCCCGCGCCACCAACGGCTCGTCGTCGAACGGGGCCGCCAAGTCCGCGGCAGAACGCCCCTCGACCTACTTTGGCCACAACCGCGAAGAGGTCACAAGGATATTGATACAGGCATTGTCAGACATGGGCTACCAGGCCGCCGCCGAGAGCGTCAGTCGGGATAGCGGCTACGACTTGGAGAGCAGTACAGTGGCGGCCTTTCGCTCGGCCGTGCTCGGCGGATACTGGGCCGAGGCAGAGAAGCTCCTGACTGGCGCCACCGTTGCGGACTCCGGTGGTGGACAAGGTAATGGATTGGTCCTCTCCGCCGGATCGGATCGAAACCTCATGAAATGCTGGCTTCGGCAGCAAAAGTTCCTGGAGCTCCTGGAGCAGCGAGACACCGGTCGCGCCCTCACGGTTCTGCGTGGGGAGCTGACACCGCTGTATCAAGACACCAGCAAGCTTCACTTCCTCTCCAGCCTGCTGATGTGCCGCTCAACAGAGGATCTCAAGGCCAAAGCCAGCTGGGACGGGGCCCAGGGACAGTCACGGAGACAGTTGCTCTCAGAGCTTTCGCGTAAGTACTCACCTCTGGTTAGGGCTGGGCTGTGACGATGTACTGACCGTATTCGCCATTAGGGTGCATCTCCCCGTCAGTCATGTTGCCCGAGAACCGCTTGGCCGTTCTCCTGGAGCAGGTGAAGCAGAAGCAGATTGATACCTGTTTGTATCATACAGCAGCGTCATCTCCCTCCCTCTATTCCGATCACTTCTGCGATAGACGCAATTTCCCCAGCGAAGTCGCCCTGGAGTTGAGTGACCTCGGCGAGATCTGGCAAGTACAGTTCTCTCATGACGGGACAAGATTGGCCACGGGTGGGAGCCGGGAGGGAGTCACGATCTGGGACACCAAGACTTTCGTCCAGGTTTTTGCTTTGTCTGACCACGAAAAGGGGGTGGGCAACGTATCGTGGAGCCCCAATGATGCTTTCATCGTGACTTGCTCGCAAGACAAACATGCGAGACTTTGGGACGCCAAGGTAAGTAATGCCACCACATCGTGAGGCACTCTCAGACAAATACAGTTTAACTGACTTCCTCCCGCTCAGACTGGTTCCCTTCTCAAGAAGATTAGGAAGTTTGATGAGCCGGTCAGCGGCTGCGTGTGGGCAGCGGACAGCGCCTCGTTCGTTCTGGGTACCCTCGACAAGAGCCACAGCATCTGCAGTTTCAACGTCCACGACGAGCAGATGCTTGACTGGGGCAAAAAGCATCGCGTCCAGGACATATGCGGCTCACCCGACGGTCGTTGGCTGGTGGCCGTGGACGATAACAACAGCATCCACGTTTACAACGCCGTGACGCGCGAGCTAGAGTATGACTTGGACCTCGGAGCGAGACCGACGTCGGTGAGTGTCAGCCAGGACTCTCGACACCTGCTCGTCAACAAGCAGGACAGCGAGGCACAGCTCATCGACCTGGTATCGAGGAACTCTGTCCAGAAGTTCCTGGGCCACACAGGAGGCGACTATCTGATTAGAAGTGCGTTCGGCGGCGCCAACGAGAGCTTTGTCGTCAGCGGCAGCGAGGATGGCAACATTCTGATATGGCACAAGATCATTGGTGCAGCTGTTGAGAGGCTGCCCGGGCATCTGCCGCGCTGCAACGCGGTGGCATGGAACCCGGCAGACCCGTGCATGCTGGCATCGTGCGGAGACGACGGCACAGTCAAGATGTGAGTGCTTGCGGCTCTTTGATCACACTGCGAGATTATTATACTGACTCGGCGACTGCAGCTGGACCAACAAGGTTAGGGCATTTGAGCTCCGATCACGGCATCCCAAGTCGTCGAACGGATGGCGGGGCTCGGTGGACGACATCTTCTAGAAGAACGGGGCTGTGAATTCCGTTCATCCTTAGCACTGTAGAGCACGGCTTCACAGCATCTAGCCTGGTCTCTACAGCACTGGCACCGGGGGCCGCGGAGGAGGGCCAGACAGCGCGGTGCACCCGAGTACGGCCGCTCGGGGGCTTGACCAAGCCTTTCCTCCCCAGCAGGGTTCTTCTGCCTGTCCGCTGTGCAGCTGTCCATGGTTTTACCAAGCATTTCGATTTAGGGTTATCCAGCTCTGGTCCCTTTCTGGCGTTACAGCGTTGGTACGGTCTAGGTCATGTTATTGGGTCTCGATGGGGGTAGAGCACGGGCTCACAGGGGTGAGAGGGTATTAGTATTGTATTGCGTGTGTAAGTAGAGGTTGGCTGGCCCTCTTTCCCTGGCCCGGGCAACAACAACACCCATTCGCAACGACGAAGACGCCAGCGAGCGCCTGTTTGACTGGCAACCAACTGGCCCCCGCAGGCACACTTGGGAGCTACTAGTATGTGCAATCGATGATGGTCGCGTGAGGTCCAGCCCAAAATGTGTGTACGTACGCCTGGTACGCGAGAGCCCAGGGGTATGCCGGTTGCCAAGCCTATTCCCCAGAAGCGGGGATGCCCAACTGTGGCTCCAGAGGATCGTGGGGATGGGACACTAACGTTAAGACGGCGGAAGGAAATCGCAAAGGTATCCGATCCGGTGAAAGCGCACGCGCCATTGACTCTGGACAGTGTGTCCCAAACAGGGTCGGTAGCACGTTGGGTCTGGCGCCGTTCAGCCTCGCCACCAGCCTGCTCACCGAGGGCTCAAAAGGGGAAGTCTTTGGGGCCCTCTTGGTACGCGCGCGCATGGATACTCGCGACAAGGACAGGGGGCCACGCGGGGGGGCAAAAAGGCATTGGGCGGTAGGATGCAATGGACGCAGTAGCTCCGAAAGTCAAATCAAGGGTGCGGCGTCGCTGGGCGCAGACAAGATGCCGCAGAACACACACACGAGCACCTGGCTTGGTGGTGAAAGGGGGCTTCCCCAGATCGACGATGGGGCCGGGGCACCAGGAGGAGTTCCAAAAGTCAAAATGGCGGGTGTGATTGCTGTTTGAAGTTTGGCTCGCTTTAGTCGGCATGTCATCTGGGCGGCGTGCAAGTTCAGATCTGACACAAACACGGACTTAGTACACAGCCATATCGAGCAGTAGTGCGTCGCAAGCACGACGATGGGGGCAAAAGATTCTCGACGTCCCGATGCTAGGGGCCGACCAGGATCGATGGAGGGAACCGCATATGGACGAGGCTTAGGGACGTTTGAACGAGGCGTCCATCTTTCGCGGCGTCGTCTTTGCCGCTCCTCGTCCGGAGGCGGCCGCATCAGCGCGAGATACCTGGCCACAAGCGGCGCATCCTCAGCGCAGTCGGCCCTGCTCATGACGCCGCGCGGAGGAACTTGTGCCTTGGTGGCCGGCAGACTATTTTGACGTCGGGCCACGGCTCACGAAGCCTGGCTAAAAGGCACGCGGGCCAGACCCACCGCCGTACCTTGCATCGCGGCGTCAGCGCCATGTTCAGACGATGAGACGTTCCTGCATTGGGCGGGCTCGAGCGCCTTGGCCTCTTGTCGTCGATATGTCTCTGCGTGCGAGGGACGGCCGTCGAGCTCGGCGCTTCCCCAAACCCAAATGCGGGCGGACCCAGGGCCAAAAGATCCATGTCGCGCCTGAGTCGTAGCAGGTGCCAAGCCAAGATCCGCCGCATGGACTGGCATTGTGCGTGAGAGAGTGCCATGGCCAGTGAGCACTGTCTGACGAGAGCAAGGACATGGTCGAAACGCTCGCTCGGGCAGTTCGTATCTCGGTCCAATGCATCTGCATGCACGTCGGCATTGGCGAGCAGCTGCGTTGCAGGGGCTTTTTGCCCGACCGAGCGGCTGCCCATGGTCGCTTCGGTGTGCCAGCAGTGACATCGTCCACGTACTGTACTGTATGCGAAGACAGCGTCTCATCCAGCTTGACGAGCCATCCATCTTCGAAGGGCAACACCCCAACACGGCTGCAAGGGCTAGACCTCGAGGAATTAGCACCGGAGCCTGCTTGCGACAGAATACCACCGACATGTACGACGTGTCGTGGCCAGCCGCGAGAGGCATGGTTGCAACGAAGCTTATCGTTTCATCGAGTTCTGGCGGACAGGTTTCCCGTGGCTCTCGTGCCATCTTGATGCCCAGCAGCATCACCAATGAGCGTCCCTCGACTGGCGATGATGGATAACGGAGGGTGAGTACCTGCCTCGAGCCGCGGGCCATGATGGCTGCACTCCCCAATGCCAACGCAACATGGCGGGCGACTGGCCAATCCTTGCAAGCGCAGCGTACCACTCGGATCCGACACCATGGCACAAGTCGCACCCCTTTTCCAGGATGACCACACCTCTGGGACCGGCTGTGGATTCGAGGCTTCTGCCAGCGCGACCCGACGCAGGCCGTTCCTGGCGCCGTCACATTTCAGCGTGAGCAGACAGACACCACCAAAGTACTAGCCTCACGGGCACCACGAGGAGGACATGCAAGCCTCATCCACGCGCCACACGGCGGGCGACCATGAATGGCGCGCCATCAAGCAAACCTCTTGTCGGGCACCACCTCCTTGGGGATAGCGGCGGAATTGCTTCGGACGACGCTTGCACACCATGCACTCGTCTCCTTTTTTTCCTTCACCGATCATCATGGTCCTCGACTTGTCAGTGATGCAGCACTTCCGCTAGTTTGCTTAACCATTGGGCGAGCTAGAGCCATCTTCAATGCCGCACCCGCGAAGGGTGGCATGAACGACTCATGGCCCAAGCCACGGCTGCTGCGCAGGATGCTGGGGTCGAAGACGTCAAGGCCTCGGACAGGTCTTCAGGCTGAAAGGAAGATGGCGGCCGTCGCAGGGTCTTGCGGTGGCGAAACAGCGTGCTGCAGCTGCAAGCATGTCTGGCGAGTGGTGGCTGCCGGCCAAGGAAAAACAAACGTCTTGCATTTCTCCAGGCACGCTGATGGCAGAAGTGGCCCAAGCGGGTGCTGATCCAGTTGGCGTCAGATGCAAACTTGCTTCTTATGCCCATCATTGGGCACGGCCCGGCGACAACGGCTTCCGGCGCTGGTCCGTTGAGCAACGGCAGTGGGCGTTGGTCGAGCCGGTCGGCAGACGCAATCCGAAGACGCTTGCGAGAGCATGTCTCTGGGGAGGCACAGTTGGCATCTGGTCCCCGCCATGCCTGCCATGGTTCGAGTTCGCGGCGTCAATAGAGCTGTCGAGACGAGAAATTGCCAGGCCCAATGCTGCCCCGTGCTCCAAGCACACTCTTGGGCTGGACTCAATGGGGTGCTGCCGCTGGAGTGGGCCCGTTCGAAGTGGCTTTGAGTGGTTGCTCTCAGGGCCTCGGCCACGCTGGGTCTGTGGCCGCCATTGCCTGCGTTGGCTATCCATTCTCAGTCTTGCTGCTCAGTGTCGACAATCCGTGGCTTGTCTTCGGATCCCGGCCTGTGGTCCTACCCAATGAGCTTGACCGTGCACGTGCAAATACAAGTACGCAGAGGCCAACAATGGTTGAGCGAGACCGCCTTGACCAAACGGTACTGTAGCCAAGCTGGGACAACTCGTCCGCCGTGGTGTCCGTCTCGGCCCGCAGATCTGCGATGTCCGCAATCACGACGCCGGGTGCGCATGCGGTTGTTGTGGACCTCGTCGTCGGCCACATGGACCCCCTTGCCTTGACCTGCCGTGCGGCCTTGGCACGCTGGAGGTCTGAATGGTTGACTGTCAGGAGCTCACTCCGCAATCCAAACGGCGCCAGCGGCGTGGTCATTGCTGCTCAAACTGTTGTTCCAGACCAAACGGATGTCGACTAGGCCTGGTGTGGAGCGGTGGGCCATGGTCTTCAGCGAGCCCGTCCGTCCGCGCTGGGGGAGGGAGTCTGGAAGGCTTCTTTTTACCCTTCCATGTGCCGCCACCACACGGCATCCGATGAGACCGGTCAGCGGCAACCCAAGGCCATGTCTCCTTCACGGAGAGACCGACCCAGGCCCATACCAGCACAAATCGTGCAGGTCGTGCAGTTGAAGAGCCCAGCAGCCGGGCTCGCACCCCTTCGCCAGCCCCCGAACTGAAGGCTTCAGCTCGACGCCCTGGACGCCGTCGCCGACTGGGTCTCTTGATCTGGAGGGTGTGCTGGCATGGCCTTTGTGTGGTCGCCGACACACTTGGTTGCCCGCCTGGTCCCTGGTCCCTGGCCCTTGGCCGGCCCGCCGGCCGTGGTCAGTGCGGACGGTAACAGAGTCTGCTATGTGCCGCTGCTTTTCGATGAAACCGCACTCTTTCCCGAGAGTGCGAGGTCGGGCCTGGCCGCAGCGTCGATGCGCGTGGTTCAAACCAACGACAAGCCTGGTCGGACAAAGAGGCCTGCCCCGAGTACGTAGCACCAGGGTATCAGTTGACCACTGGCGACACTGCGAGGCACCACTGCCGGGTGACCGTAACCGAACGAAAAACAGAAGCAAAAAAGTTCCTTGCAAAACGCGAAGCCATTCATTGACGTCGGCGTCGGCGCTGGAACGTTGTCTGAGGGGTGACGGGCAAGGCTCCCTCGCTGAGCCGAAGGCAGGTTGGGGAGGGATGTTTGGAGCTCCAAGATGGCGGCATTACAGAGCTTTGAAGGTGAGTGAGTACGGGGGTCCACTTGTGCGTGCACTCTATGTGCCGTCTGGGGGAGTTGCATGCAAGGTTGCTGTTGGATCGAGAGGCTCGCACGGGTTGTAGCACGTCGACGGTCCTTACTCATGATACCTGCTCAAGACAGGGTGCGCAGTGAAGACACCTGACGGGAGGTATCGAGGGACAACCGAAGCTGATCGATCCGCCCAGCAGGCGCTGCAGCAGGCGCAGCACGACCCTGCAGAGAAACGTATCTCGTCTTGCCATGTACATTTACCTTTCTGGCATAGGTGCGTCTCGCCGTCCTGGCGCCTGCAGCTGCCGCTGTCCTTCCGGGTCGGGTCCCGGCTGGAAAGGTGCATGTAGGCAGTCTGCGCTCCTGAGGTGTCGACAAACTGAAGAGGGGGAAGGAGGCAACGGCACTCGACCTACCTGCCTTTGATTGATGTAACGTGCGACGGCCACGGCAGGTGCAGCTACGCTTTGCCGCCATCGGGGACGGGTCGAATCCAGGCCAGGAAGGAGCGACGCGCTTGGCCGCCAAAGCGGCACCTTAAGCCTCTCACAATCCGGCACGGCTGTGAACATGACGATGCCCTGCCCGCAGCGTCAAAATGTCTTCAGCCCCTTAACTAGGTTTCTTGGACAGTATGGCCTGGCGCGACAACCGGCGAACAAGCTCTGCATACGCGTCGAGAAGAGCCGCCGCTGACGAAGGGGGTGCCTTCTGGTGATCGGACGGCAGGCACGATAGACTGGTGTAAGTGGACTGCAACCAACCTTTCCTTGCCGCGCAAGGTACCGAAGTAAAAGAAGGGGCAGGAACAACCTGCTAGGTAGGTACCGAGCACCTTGAATAGGCAAGGCACGCAAAGCAGCACCTTCCCCTCCATCAAGTACCACGGTACGAAGGCGAGGTAGCAATACACGCCTCACTCCTGGCAGTCCGTGGCAGCGGCAGGTCGCCGGATGCAGCGCCAAACGCTGTGCCGCCGGATGGAGCAAGATGCTGTACGGCAGAACTCAACGGGACTCCCTCTCCCCTTCTCTCATCAACACGCCGTTCCCCACCCGAATCGCTCAGCACGATACGAAGTGCTACTCGCACTCGTACCATGCCGTGGCCGCGCCGCGAGCGTGTCTGCGGCCCCGGTCGTGTCGTTCGTTGTCCGGCTGTTTTGTAATCTTGCAGCGATCCGTCATTTTTTGGAGCCCCCCTCGGTTGTGTGGTGGTCCATGTTTGATGTTAATTTCGCCTGCGGCCAAGCCTGGGTCGCCCGCCGGGGCCCTGGGCCTGGCTCGCTGCAGCGCACGCACAACAGCGAGCGCAAACGCGCCAAATGCCCCCCAAGTGCACCACGAATGCACCACGCCACAGCGGCGGCGCCCCTCCTCCACTCCACCCGCGCACCCACCATCCAGCTGTGCAAGTGTGAAGTGGTGCCCGCTAACCTTGCCATGCCACGCCTCCGTCTCTGGCTGCCCCCCATCCGGGCATCTTTGCCCAGGCCACCCTCTCCCTCTCAAGCCCCCCCCGTTCTAATCGAACGCCTCCCGAGGGGCCTAATGCGGGATCGTCGCTGAGTTAGTTCAACATTATGCCGGGCCCGTCCATGGCACCCGTGCCCTCCGTTCTGCCCGCTGCTCTTCGCTCTGCTCCCTCTTCATTATCTTGCTGAAATCTCCCGTCTCGTTGCTCGTCGGTCCCGCGACTCCCGCACCTGGTGCCTCGACCCTCGACGCCGCTCATTGCCTCTGTTGTTGCGCGCGGCTGCCTGCTCGTCTGCCGCTTCGCCCGTTGGTCCACGGCCCTCCCGAGTCGCAGCACCAGCTACCAAGCACCCAGTAGGCAGCGAGACGGGGTGCCAGGCCGACGACCGCGCATTGCGACGCTTGAGACACGACGCAACGAGCACAACGCCCTCGCAAACCACCTCCACTCATAATGCGCCTATAACACAAGGCTACTTTCTCCTTCTTCCTTGGCCGCTCTTCTTCCTTTGCTTGTTTGGTCTTTGCCCCGGATCCCGCTCTTAGGGCGCCTCGGCCATGGACAATCTCGACGGCATCCTCCTGGTCCCCCCGGACCGGAGCCAGATCCTTGGCCGAGCTTCTTGGAAGGTTGGTCCCTGCCAGTGCCACCACCTCTGCAGACCCCCCTCGTGTTTCTTCCAGCCCGCTCGCCATTTCCTGACATGAATTCTATACAGTCTCGCTATGTCGTCGTCGGCAAACGGAACCGCAACGCCAGGGAGCGGCAGGGCAGCTCGACCTACGTCCAAGGCGTTACCACAGGGAGGATGCCGACGTCGATGCCCAAGCCCCTCCCCCAGATCCCGATAACAGACGAGTACTGTATACTGGTCTATAAAGCCAAGGTAATTCGTCCCAATTTCCTGCCGCCATGGGGCTAGGGACGCTGGTCTAACACGACGTGCCAGGACGACTCGGAGCCGATCCAACAATGGCCCACCAGCTGCGTCACCGACTGCCAAGTGCAGCTTGTTACCAACCGAAAGCAGAGCCCCGTTCAGCCGACCCTCGTCATCACCATCTCCGACAAGGAGCGCCGACGCAGATCGAGCCGGGCAGCTGGCTTCATAGCGAACAACAAGGAGACTGGCACCACGACGCTCTGGTTCCGTGTCCCGTCAGACGATCATCACCCGAGTCTTCACGAGTGGGCGCGCTTTATCCAGGCCAAGAAGGACGCTCACGGCTCTGAAAGCCCTGCGTCACCCATCTTCACCAGCCCCTTTTCAACCAGGTCCCGCGACAACTCGGACCGCGGGCTTCAGCACAAAAGCTCGACAGCAACGTACTCAACAGGCCCTCGTGACTGTCCTCCCACTTTCAGTTCCGAGTCCCCGAGTTTGCGATCCAAGCGCAGCGACATTTCTTCCCCGTCAAGCAATGCCTACGGGCCGCAAAAGATTCCGTATGCCATTCCTGAGCAGCATTACACCACCGTCCTCCCTACAGACATTGGCCCGTCAACCCCGTTGGGTGATTATCGCGGCGAGTTAATCGAGGGTTGGACATCAGCCCAGGGAAGGACTTCGACCATGAGCTCACCGACACGAACTCGAGACAGCATGAGCTCGCAAGTTCACCACCCTCAGCTTTGTGATGCTTCAATGCCGCCTGCCCCGGGCGAGACTATTCTCGACCGGGCGTTCCAGCTGGGGCACATACCGGGCGCCGAGACGTATATCCCCGGTCAAGAAAAGCTCAGCTCCATCGCCAGATTCGACGCTCTCATGCGCGAAGCCGAACAGCGTCGAAAGCAAAAAGAGGCAGCTGCCAAGGCCGAGCAGACGGCAATGCGCAGCACATTTGAAGAGGACGACAGCGACGACGAGGTGGACCCGCACGAATCATCCGACTCGGACTCTGAGATCGACGGACCTTCCCACGACCTGGACCATTTCAACCAGGCACCTCTGATGTCACCTGGGGCGCAGCGAGCACTCGCTTACATCGCCGGTCGGCATGACCCGGTCCGCAACTCGACCTCGCACCGCCCAAGCATGTCGCGGGCCCATGTCAGCTTTCACGCTGACTCGGTGCGGTCATCCGCGGCCACCCCAGTTCCGCCCTCACGCCCTCACACCGCGCACGCCAAGTCGCGACCAAATGCCGGGCGCACCCAGAGCACGCCTCATCTAACCGCCCCTTCAACGGCGACAGGCAATGTCCCCCCGACAGCCACCAAAAGCCTGCCGACAGCAACCCCCGACCCGCACCAGGCCACCGGTGGAGACAGCCGTCTTTCCAGCTCCAGCACGAAAAGGTTGAGTTTCACCGAGTTCACAAAACGGCTCTCCAGCACCAGCAGCTTACTGCTCGTCCAGACGAACGCCAGCGTAGGAAGCAGCCGTGGCAGCAGCGAGATCGAGCCTCAGGCGTCCTCGGCAGGACGCACGAGTTTGACGATTCGCGGCGCGTCTAGCTCTAAACCGCTGCCACCGAGGCCGGACGGCCAGGATAGACGATGTGGCTGGCGAAGCAGCGTCGGCGTTGTAGCACCAGAGGGCGGGTTTTTATGAGGCCCTGTGCGTCGAGACTCATTTTGGATAACAGCGGTGGGGAAAGATTTGGCCATGCCGATACATTCTATGATACCACACGATTGACGAGGCGCATTATACACCGTTAAAACACCTTTACGGCATTTTTCATAGTACAGCCACATCATTCAAACGCCCACAATCGGCCACGCAGGCGGCCTGGGCTTATTTACGACGATTCGAACCAGCGGCCGGTGGCGAGCGACGGAGTGTTCCGACACCCAAGGACACAGAGTTGTGGTCGTCTCAGCCCTTTTTTTTGTCTGTTCAATGACGATACCTATCTACTTCTTTTGGTTCTGCGCGCTCTGCAAAGGCATTTTTCTTGTATATATACATAGACGCATACAGCTCTCAACTACTAGAGCCTCGAATACAGACGGTCCGGTCTGCCGGAGACTCGTTAGATTTGAAGATACGAAGGAGCAGAGGAGCAGGTCGATTGTCAACGTGTAACGTGACGTGCCGTGCGGCTTAATTCCCCTCTTAGGAGCAGGGTTGTTGGTGTGAAGTGAAGAGCAGGGTCTGACTATCATGGACACTGTGCACGGCTCCGATGCGTTCGTTCCAGGATCATCTGCCGGGCGCCGATATCAGTCTTCCTCCAAGGTGTTATATCAACTACGCGGATGTCAAAACTAATAGTGTGTTGCTCGGTCCCAGGCTGGCACAGCCACACAAGCAAGGTATGGTTGATCGTAATTTGACATTGTGTGGGCGTGCGTCGACGACTTGTCGAGGCGCAACGCGCGCTGCTTCTACCCCAACCAGGAAGCTAGCTTTTATAGACATGCCCTGCAATTCTGTCCCGGGGCCGCATACTCTCAAGTGGTATCTTCCATCATTCACCCTCCCATGTCCCTGCCTATATCCCAGGGACCCTGCCGCGCGGGAACCCTTGCTATAGTCCCACACGTTTTCCCCCCTGCCTGCACCGCCTAATGCGCTCGCCCCGTTTTGTATATCTGCAGCCGCCCGATTGCAGGTTCTCCCCTTTAATCAGCGAATGAACTGCGCAATGGCCGCCTGCTGATCGGCCGGCAACCGCTGGCCGATGAAACTCTCAATGGCTCCGCTGTGCCGTGCGTTGGCCGCCACCATGTAGTTCTTAACCCACTTGGTGACATCGACAACCTCTGGGAAGTCGTCCTGCGCCACGGGTCGGCACGTGTTCAACGCGGTGAAGGTCATGCCAAAGCCAATGTCGTCGACCGACGCTTCGGTGATGACCTCGTCGCCGAGGCCGCCCGAGACAGCCGGCGGGTTCGCCAGCAGGGAGAGCAGGATGCGGCAGCTGTTGGCCCAGCCCTTCATGAACTTCTGAGCAAACACTTGCGAGTCGCACAGCGTCTTTGTCAAGGACACGACAGCTGTCTTGCGATCCACGGGCTTGGCAAGCTTCTCCGTCTCCGCCAAGACGAAGGGCGGGTAGACTTGCGAAAAGGCTCTCTCGTCGAGCTGGTCCGACTTCTTGATGAAGTAATCCGCCCCATATCCTGCCTCAAGCTTGGCGCCGACAAGGTGGTAGAACCGCGCGAAGCGGATCTTGAACGTCTCCGAAGGTGATCCCTGCAGCTTGGTGTAGAGCAGCTGCACAATGGTTCCAAAGTACTGGTCAATTGTTGCCCTGTCAAGGTCATGTTAGCTCAGAGCTCGCAGATTGTGACACAGGTGGGAGGTACTCACGGCTCGAAAGAGTGGATGATCGCATCCAGGACATCAAACGCCATGAGCTCGGATTTTTTGCTGCTCAGCAGCTTCTGGAAAATTCCCAGCACGGGCTCCAGCTGATTCTCTGCAACGATAACCTTGGCGGCCTTGGGGATGACTGCCGACAACAGGCGGGTGCAGGCCGGGACGTTGCCGCGGACCTCCCACAGCGGCGCCGCAAGAAGAGGGCCGATGAGCATCTTGTACTCGTCGGACACATCCTGCGACGGGCAGGATTCGAGGAACTGAGCCAAAATTTGGAAAATGTAGGGCAGGAACTCTGGGCAGCGTGTTAGCAAACGAGCGATTCGGGTGAAAAATAGTACTGACCAGACACATCTTCCGCTAGAATCTTGTTGAACGGCTCCCACAGTTTTTGGTTGAACAAGGCGGCGCTGGTGCCCGAGCAGTACCGCACGAGAGCACCCATCGCTTCAAAATGGTAGTAGTAAAATCTCGGGTTGCTCGGGTTCTGCTTCATCACATTGGTAATGAGGATGAGGTGGGTCAAGACATTCTCCAGTACGTGCGTGGCGCCGTCCTTGATGACGATGAGGATACGCATCACGCATCGCATCAAGAACTCGTTCTCCTGCAGCTTAGCCGGACTCGTCTCCTTCTCGATCAGCTTGAAGAGATGCGTGAGGAGGTCCTTGGCGAAGGGCTCAATATCGACTCGGGGGAACATCTGGTTGCCGGCATCGTCGGCCAAGAAGAGCACCCGTTCCACTGCAATCGCAGCGTACGTGTACACGACGTAGTTGGACGAATTGAGGTTCTGGACCAGCGGTCCAAGCGCGAGCTTCCACTGCTCCTTGGAGAGCTGGCTTCGGAATGTGTAGAGGTACTTGATCGCATCGACCCTGGCGATGGGCGAGATACTCTCGCCACCCATCAGGTCGGCAGCGATGTTCTGCTCAAAGAACTCGACAACATTGACGAGCGGGTTGACAGTCTTGACACCCTGCGCGGCCGTTACGGCGCCCTTTGCCGCGATGGACAGATACAGATATACTGCTGTGTCCTTGGCCTTCCAGTCCGACTTGCCCAGCGTCAAGTAGTGGGTGATGTATCTTGTGACAGTGGTGGTCACCAGCGACTCAAAGTTTTCTTGGAGCTTGCGGAGGAAGTCGGTGGCTGATCTTCTCCGCGAGTCTGTGTCTGAGCCTTCCAGGTCACGACGGATGAATTCGATCGGCTCATCCTCAAACATCTCCAAGTCGGACTCTCTAAGGGCGACATTGGGCAGGATGACCTTCTCCACGATCTGTGTAAGAACGTTCTGGTCGTTGAACATGCCAGAGTGCTTCGGGTTCGAGGCAACGGCAGTGAGGAAGTGGAGAGCCTTGCTGACAACCGTGTCGTACTTGGTCTCCTGGCCAATCGTGGACAGCAAGTTCCAGGCGCTCGTGATGAACGGCTCGCAGTACTTGCCCCAGTCCTCGTCATACTTGGTCGTAAACAGCTCGAGCAGTTCGCAAATATCGGCCTTGACGGTGTCGGCTATGCTCGTCTCGATATCGTCGTCTGTTTGCAGGACAGGGTTCGTGTAGTCGAGATACTTGTGCAGGAGCGTGGCGATGCTCTTAAGATTCTCGTCGAAGATGGGCGGGATGTCGTGGCACGACATGTCGTACATGATCTTGATCTGGAGATCGAGAACCTCGAACCAGCCCTGCAGCACATCCTTGTTGTTTGAGTTTCGGTCGATTATGTCGTTTGTCGTCTGGAAAAGCGTTAGTCTGATTGCTCGAGTCACGAACGTTGGCAAACGCGGCATGTACGCACCACAAGGAGCTGGACAAAGGGCTCGCCAAACGTGTTGATGACGTGATTGATCTCGGTGTACAGTTCGTCGGTTCGGAGGAGCGGCCGCCATCGAGCGAAGATGGAATGCGCCACCTCGAGCACGCCAATGTTGATTTTGGGATCGGTGTTGGAGAAGCGGCTGACGAGTTCCTGGAAGTGTTGCAGTCAGTACGTGGAAAACCCTGGTGGCTGTGGCAAAGCTCGGGCATACCTGTGTGAGTGTGTCCCACCTCCGCCAAAAGTCCGAGTCGGCAATGATGCTGATAGCCTCGCCGAGCTGGCTCTGGACGGTAGGCGGCGACGAGATCATGAGGCCGATGAGGCGCTCCTTGATGGTGCCGACCTCATCTTGCGGCAGCTTGTAGTTGCCTTCTTCGTCCTGCAGGGGAAGTAATTAGCTCTGGGCCGGTCAAGGCGGGCTTGGTGACGTACCACGTAGTTGAATCGGATGAAGTTTTTGAAGGCGAGCGCGGCGGCGAGGCGGGTGTTGAGGGGTAGGGATTCGGAGTTGACGATGTTGAGCAGGCTGAGGGAGTAGTGAGGCTTGACTGCTTCTTGCTTGAGGGCGGACTCGGCTAAAGGGCGACAATCGTTGTCAGTAACGGATCACGACGAGGCTGCACGCGGCGGGGCAGAAGCGCAACGGCCAGCGGGAGAGCTCACCTTTGCGGTGCTGCGCGGGGTCGAGGGTCGCGTTGAGCAGCTGAGCAATGTGACCAATGTCGGCCGCCATCGTGAAGTCTCGCAGGGGGGCGTCGGTGAGAGAGCTGCGACACGAGGTGGAGGTGGTGATGCGGGAAGAAGTTTGGGGGTGAGGGTGTGGGAGGAGCTGGCTGAAGATGGCCGTGGTTTGGTTCGGTTCGGTTTGCTTTGCTTTGTTTGGGTACTTCGCCAAGTTTGTCAGGTCGGCTGTCCGGCCTTCACCAACAGCAACCAGGTGGCCCGCCAAGTGCCTGGAAATTTACCCACCCAGTGCGGCTTTCCGGGGCCAAACGGGCCGGGAGCGTTGGAGTGGCAGTGGGGACCTGAAGACACTGGAGAGCTCCATCGAAGCTTCCGTCTGGAGCATCCAATTGGGGAGCTCAGAGCTGTGGGACAAGCTCGTCCTGCCTACCCTGGAGCTGTGAGCTCCTTTCGTTGACTCTGTGAAGTGTGTTGACGAGATTGTGAATCCTTTTTTGCAGCGATGATGACGTCTACATGGCTTTTGGCGATTTTCCAAGAGTGTGGAGTTTGGTCCAGGCAGCTGTTCATTCCGCCGACTCGCGCGGACTTTGCGAAGCCTATCTAGGCGATTCCTGAGTGCACACTCCCGCACGTAGACATATGAATTAGTTCACAGGACTACTATCAAAGTGCCCAAGAGTCCAGCCACTTCAGCTTGGTGCATAATTTTCATACGTATGTGCATGGCCCCGGACGAGGCCAGCCTTTGGCCTCAGACAGAAGCAAGCAACCTCTTGAATGCCCTGACCGTTGCGGTGCACCTTGACTTCCCCCGGTGGGTAGGGGGCACCACACCTGGTGCGAGACAACGCCTCGCGTTTGCAGCATGCCCAAAAAAGCAAAAATGTGTAGCGAAAAAGGAAGCAGGAGGGATCGCCTGGAGCTTATGCCGGCGATTCTGCCCAGCATGTGCATGCAGACCAGGATAGTCCACGTATGTATACACAGAGCACCTCTGGCAGACCTGGAATCCACAGCACCTTGCCATCGGACGGCGTGGAAAAAATTGCACGCTCCAGCAGATCATACCCAGACGGGAGCCGTGCGACAGGAGGAAAGCTTGCAAGGTGACTTTTGACTTTTGTCCTTGCATCCCGTGCTTGGCGGGCATCGCGGGGAGGCTTGCGCTCGCGCTTGCGGGCGACGGGATGCAAGGCTTTCTCGCAGGTCGTGGCTCTCCGCGCCAGCAGCTTCCAGGTTTCCTCCCCATGATCGCATCAAGCGCATCCACCTCGATAGCCTCGGGCCAGGGAGGGTCAGCTGCAGCTCACTCATCGCATGGAGCTCCCCCTAGCGCTTGATGATGGACGCCACGGTTGCTGCCAGTGGGCGACACAGCGCAGGCAGGGGCTTCCCGAACCCCCCGGTCCCCACCTCCTTCCATGGGCGTTGACCATCCAAGCCATCCATGCTGGCCTGGCATGTGGGTGCAGAAAAACACCGCCGGTCTGATCAGCGAAACTTGAGTGTGTCGAGCGGCGGTGTTTTTCTGCACCCACATGCCTGGGCTGACGCGCGAGACGGACGGGGAGCTGTCTGCTAGCCCGTCCACCACTGCAGCCAGCGACAGGGTGGACATCCGACCCTGATGAGGTGCCCCGGGCCGTCCTCCATCCTGAGGCTCCCAAGGCCCCTCTAGTGCCCACCCGCCCGCTAACACCCACGGATCATCCACTATCAAGCCCCCTGCCAAACTGTGGCCAACCTTACCTTACAAGGCCCTTGCCCACTAAACCAAAGCCGTTCGCATCCAGCACGCCTTGGCAACCACCAAACCAAGCCAACCCAAATCTAACCTGAGCCCGGGTCGGGTCGCTTCGCTTCGCTCTACTTGTACCTCACCTTGCCTTCCTCAACTCTCTGCGCCCCTCGTCGATCCGCCTCGCCTCCTCTTGACCTCGACCCTCAAACCCGACCGATATCCTCTGCATGCCAAGCATCGAAATCCTGCAGCAGCGACGGCGTACCACGATCCTTCATCCTCGCGACCTGTCACATCAGGCCATCGCTGCCCCGGACCAACAGACTCGACTCCCGGCCAGAGCCATCGCGAAGCGCCCGCCCTCCCGGTCGCCGCGGTCCCAGAACAGCGCAGGCACCCTCCTGCTGTGCACATAAACGACGCCCCGCCTTCAGCCACAATATCCGCAAGATAGCCTCGCCGTTATCTCGTTGCGCGCAACGAATTCTGCCCCCCTTTGGCGACTCGCGGCCCCTGGCCGTGTCTTGACCCCACGGGACATATATGGTCTTGACGCTGCGTTAGCAACGTCGCTGCTTATATCGTGAGTCTCCCGGTCCGCCTCGTCGCCCCACCCGCAGCAGTGGTGCAAAGGTTTCCATGTTGGTGGGAGCTTAGGCCCGAGGCGAGCTGCTGACTCGACGAAAAAGGCAGCGCAGACACCAGCGAATGTTGCAACGAGAACGACGCCAGACGAGCACATGTCCCCTCGGCCTGACGATGACCCCTCCTCACACGACACCACACGCCCGAGTGGCCTCGCCCACGTCTTCCGCAACCTGACAAGCTCCAAGGCATCCCACAAGTCTCCGCCTCCGCTGTCCCTGCCCGTCACCGTCCTGCCCCGGGCCGACCTCGTCAATGCCACCTCGACCAGCTCCCGGGAGCTCTCATCCAACCACATGGACGCGTTCGAGCTCCTCAAGAGCGGCTCCACGAGCGAACGCATATCTGCCGCCAACACTCTAAAGTACGCCATCGCCGAGTACCCCGTCAACCCCGTCCTGGACATTTGGTACGCCGGCAAGGATCTCATTGATGCCGGCAATCCTTCGCCGATGCGCCTGGCGGGGTGGGAGCTACTGACCGAGTGCGCGAAGCACCCCTCGTCGACGGACTTGGAGCGCAAAGAGTATTTCCAAACGCTGTCTGCCCCGGCGCATCCCGAGGATTTCCATTTACAGCTCGCCGCTCTCGTCGATCTGACGAACCATGGCCGCCTGATCACGGGATTTGACTACGATCTGATCCCTCTCCTCACGAACTGGCTACACGAGGCATACAAGTCTGCCAGGAGAGCCCGGAAGAACGCACAGTCGACCAGGGGTCAGCGGAGCTCTTCTCGGGGCAGGGTGGCGGCTTCGGGTGAGGAGAAGAACCTGGCCCAGATCTTCCAATTCCTCCTCGATGTCATCAAATTCAGCTTCAACAACGCCAACGAGGCCTCGGTCTCCGGGCTCATCGACCGTCTCCTAGTCATTTGCATGAACACAAGTGTCGAGGATGACCTGAGATCTTGCATTGGCGTCATCGACGCGATCGTGACCTTTGGGTCCATTCCCCAAGAGAAGCTCAAGGAGTGTGTTCAGGTCCTCTCTTCCATTTTCTGCCTCGTGCCGACGCTGCAGAAGACATCGTGGCACACCCTTGCCAATCTCTGCAAGTCTCACAACGGTCAGGCCACCGTACGCATCCTGCTCGACATACTTCGCAACCTCCCGTCGGAAGGGGCCAAGGACAGGGACACAAGCAGCAGGGAAGTCAGAGGTGCCCTTGCGGTGCTTCAGAAGCTGCTCTCCAAAACGACAGAGAAGGGCTACCCCACCGTGCCGTACGCTCTCCTCGTGGATGGCCTGTCCAACGCCTTGCGGGCAACATCGTCCGTGCGGGTGTACTGCTCTCTACTGCAGCTCATCAATTCGCTGTTTGACGACGGGCACGGGCAGACGCACCGTCTAATTGTGGACGAGGACTGGTCAATTTGCTTGGACGTTGCTGCTGAATGCTGCCGCAGAGTTCACACGGACTTTGACCGGAGGCGCAGCAGTCAATCCAGAGACGAGCAGCCGGAGGTGGGAGTGGACCGTGAGCTGCTGGCGTTGGTCAGTCGGCTCGATGCCATCGCCAAGCAGAAGACGGGGGAGTTTGTCCCCCGAGATTCCATCATTAAGTTCTTCACCGAGGTCCACGCGATCCTTCCGGACTCAACGGCAAGGACAGTTTTGGACTACTTCCAGGAGTTCAGATGCTGCTCGCCGTCCGACCTACGCTGGGAAGAGAATTTGAGCTTGGTCCTGGATGCATTCTTCAGCGACCGAACGCGGAGCTCCGAGACGCGACTTAGGGCTCTGCAGACTACCATGGATGCGTACGAAATCGTCGATCTTGTCGGAGACGGGGCCGAGCAGAATCTGATTCCCCGTCTGGCCAAGAGCATTCTACAAAACGTTGTCGAGGAGACAGACGTACCGGTGCTCGAGGCCATCATGTCGCTGATGGTATCGGTTGTCACCTCATGTGATATGGAGCTCTTTGACTACATTATCGACACTCTCCGCGGCATCGTCGTCAACGACCGACTGAAATCCCCTATTACATCGCCAAACACGCCCGGGACCTTGTCGCCGACCAGCCCTGAGGCGCCAGGGTCTTCAATTGAGCAGTCTCCGTCCAACGTCGTTACGAGAGGCTATGTCAACATGTTCCTCCGTGTCATGAACTCGCATGGGGACAAGAGCGTTCGCCTATTCAACGCGCTCGTCGCAATAGCCAAGCTGAATCACTGCGAGGTTGATGCACGCCTCACCGCCATGAAGCTGCTGTTTCGCCTGCGCGCGGACTGGGCCAACCGGATCTTCGTCACCGACGACCTTGAGAACAGCTTCCTCGCCACAGCAATGTGCCGGACTGATGCCTCGTATGCTAAGAAGCAGGCGGAGGAGGCAGCCCAGTCGCTGCGCTTGTCGAGGAGCGACCACGGGGCGCAGTCACGCTCTTCGAGAGGCGTTTCCTTTGGACAAGGGACAGCCGAAAGGGGCATCCCGGTTCGAACCCCAAGCGGCACAAAGAGTGTCCGCCAGAGATACCGCCAGCTGTGGAGCTATCCGGACCCGGACGCACTGCCGGACGCGATACCGAAGCTGATCAGCCCTGTCCTCGTTTCGGAAGAGGTCGGCGAGGAACCGGCAGCCGACGGCGATGGGTCCACCAGCGGCAGTGAGGAATTGCACACAGTCGCCCTCAACATGTCGGCATGGCTCGAGGCCGTCTTAGGCATTCTGCAAGGAAGCGAGTGGGAGGTGTACAGCTTTGTCCTCGTCCACCTTCCTTCGCAGCTGAGCAATCATGCCGTCTTTAGGAACGCAATACCACAGATCCAGGAGCTTCGCCGCCTCATCTGCGAGCAGATCCGCACTAACGGCTTCTCGGAGGCGCCGCCCGCGTCGGGATTGCGTCGTGCTGACATTGCAATCTGCCTTTTTCACAGTCTGACAATGATATTGAGCTATCACGAGCATTTCCCGAAGACGGACGAGGACGAGATTGTCAGGACGTTTGTGCTCGGCATTGCCACCTGGGAACGCACGGCGAAATACTGCATCCACGCCCTGTCGATATGCTGCCATGAGCTCCCGTTGTCCACGAGCAAGTCCCTGATCCAGATGCTGAATCAGATGGCGGCAATCATCACACAGCCACACGTATCGGTGCACATTCTGGAGTTTCTCGCCTCCCTTAGCCGCCTGCACGACGTCTATGTCAACTTTAGGGAGGATGACTACAGGATTGTGTTTGGCATCTGCTTCCGCTACCTCGAGTATACCAGGGACAAGAGGCAATCGAATCGCGGCAGCCATGCCAGTGAAGCGTCGACGCCGCTGACTCCGAGCTCGAACCCTGCGGAGCTCATCCCGTCGAATCCGTCGGATGACCTGCCGCAATACGTACACGCACTGGCCTATCATGTCATTCTGTTCTGGTTCCTCGCTCTGAAGATTCAAGATCGCGCTCGCCACGTCGGCTGGATAGTCAAGAAGCTTTTTGCGGACGGCGACGGCACCGGACAGACGGCGGACGAACAGACACTCACGTCCATCGACTTTATGCAGAGAGTGGCGTATGCCGACGTGGACGAGTCTGCCGAGGACCCCTACTTTACCGAGGACCGCTTTGGGCCGATCGTCAAGAAGCAGTGGCTCGTCGGTAACAGTATCATCACCATCAAGCAGGCCACGCTGTCCGGGTGGGCTCAAATCATCAAAAGGCAGCCGTCGGGGACGTCGGCGTACGTCGTTCGTGAGACGTTCACCCCTCCACCAGCGCATCAGGCAGAAGCCTACGTCGACATCAGCAGGGAAGGGCAGGCGACGAGCAACACCGTCCTGCCCAGCCACTTGCTCATCCAGCTCATGTCTCCCGTGCCTCAGACGTACGAGTCGGCGCGACCCATCCCTCTCCCGGAAGACGAGGCCACGGACAGAGCCATTCGTGTGTTTGACAGGAGCTCCAGTCTGGACGGACACAAGGTCGGCGTCGTATACATTGGCGAGGGGCAAACTGACGAAGCGGACATACTGGCCAATGTATCGGGCAGTGGCGACTACATCGAATTCCTCAATAACCTGGGCACCCTTACGAAGCTAAAGGGAGCGACTTTCAACACCCAGGGCCTGGACCGCGAGTACGACACGGACGGCCAGTACACGTTCTGCTGGCGAGACAGGGTGACGGAAATCGTCTTCCATGTGACGACACAGATGCCGACGGACCTAGAGCGGGACGCCAACTGCACGCTGAAGAAGAGGCACATCGGAAACGACTTTGTCAACATCATCTTCAATGACTCGGGGCTGCCCTTCAAGTTCGACACCTTCCCAAGCCAGTTCAATTTTGTCAATATCGTCATCACGCCGGCATCGCGAGCGTCGTTCATCGCGGCACGCGAGGCCGAGTCGGAGAGGGCGCAGAGCCACAGGCAGCCTTTTTACAGGGTGCAGGTGATGAGCAAGCCGGGCTTCCCCGAGGTGTCGCCGGCGTCGGAGACGAAGATGATTTCGCTGAAGGCACTTCCAGGCTTTGTGCGGTTGCTGGCGCTCAACGCATCGATGTTTTCGGTGGTGTGGCACAACCGAGAGGGCGGAGAGCACATCAGCTCGTGGAGCGGTCGGCTCCGTGAGATTCGGCGCCTGCGCGAGAAGCACGGGCCGAAGCCCGCGGGTACGACGACGTCTCCGCCGTCGACGGCTTTTGGAGCGCAATCGCAGACGGCGCAAGCGGACTCTTCGAGGCCTAGCAGTAGCGTCAGGGACAGCTTCAACAGCCTTCGGCGGACGAGCGTGGCGACTTTCTTCACCAGCGCAAGTGAGCAGACGTCGCACAGGTCGTCGACGCTGTCTACGGTGGCAACGTCCAACGACACGGAGCTGCCCCCGACAAACGGCACCAGCTCGTTGGTAGAGTCGGTGGACTTTTCCAAGTGGGCTTGAGCTGAGGTATGGCGCGATGGCGGGCGTTTGCATGGAGTGTGAGACGAGAGTGGTGAAGCGGATGCATGCCGACGGCGTCAGGAGAAGCAGGGTGGACAACATGTGATGACGCGAACACACAAAAGTTTGGCGCATGCACTGCCGGGTACATTATTGTGGGCTTTGCAAGCCAGTCATTGCGATTTAGTTGGAAAGGGCATCCGCGTTGTGGCGGGTGAAGATACCCAGGGAGTCATCGAGACGGCAGGCATTCAGACAGCCTCTCAGACGGGGGCTGTATCGGGAAAAACGGCGCAGATTTTCATGTGTATGGAACGGATCGACGGACAGATGTAGTAAATACCAACAGACCTACCTACCCACTCGCAAGAGGTGGGAGGAGGGGCAAATACCTTGTTAATGCTTGTATTGCGCGGATCGATGAGCAGCACAGCCCGGGCCCGAATGCCGGGATGGAATTCCGTGTTGTCGGAGCGCCGGCGACCCCACTCCTCCCCGACGGTCCAGCGCCGCCCTAGAGCCACAGCCAGTCAGTCACTCACTCACTGTGGTCGACGCGCTCGCTAAACTCAACATGAACGCGTCTCATCTCACTGCCGTGTAATTCATCACCACCACCTCCAAGCTTGTTCATTCATCCACCGCATACAAACCGCGTATTTGCGACGGCACTGCAGCGTCAAGACCACTGACATTGCAGCGGTCGGACCCGTATCCGGCATACCATGCGTCATGGCCGCCGCCGCGGCAGACGAGGACATTGACCTCCTCATCCAGGACGTCCTCGACGGTGAGGCACCCATCGCATCCCCCCATCCAGGAACGACGACGACGACGGCAACGAGCCAGCGTGCTAACCCTCCATGGCCACCACCCAGCCTCCAGGATCCCGCCCAAGGCCCGCCCGACGAGCATCAAGCCCACGGTCGCGCGCCTCTGCTCCCTCGCCTACGAGCACGGCCTCGCACCCGCCTCGCTAACCCGGCTGGCGGGCGAGCTGCTCGCGGCGCCGCAGTCGCGCCAGCACCTCGACCAGGCGAGCCTGCAGGCACTCGCGCGCAACCTGTATCCGCGCGCGGGCGGCGTGTCGGCGGACGCGGCGCTGCAGGTGGTGGGCGCGCTGGGGCACGGCGCGGGGAGGGCGGCGCTGGGGGTGCAGGCCGCGCTGCTGCGCTGGCTGGTGCTTGTGTGGCATGTGCTCGAGGATGAGGGGAGGAGCGCGCTGAGTAGGGCGTATGGCGTGCTGTTTGGCGTGCTGGACACGGCGGCGATACGGTCGGTGATGCGTTGCCTCCCTCTCGCTCTGTCGTCCATGAGGGACTGACTTGCTTTCTGGTTGTTCTTCTGAGTGCTGACTGACAGTGCTGCTGCTGTTGCAGGCCGCAGGTTGCGCATGTGCTGGCGCTGCTGACGAGGAGGAAACACGTCCGTCCGTTTCGGATCCAGGCCCTGTGAGCAGCTCTCCGTGGGATACCCCGCGAGCAAGACGATCGTGTGCTAACTCGGGGTTCACCAGGCTCAACCTCTCGAGGCAGACGGGCAACGACCCGTGTCTCGTCGGCCTGCTGCGCGTCTACAAGGACTACTACCCGGAGATTATCGTCGGCGAGGCAGTGCGTGGCAAGGCGGCGGCGTTCAAGGCGAGTACCTCACGGAGGCGGCTGTGCCTTTGTGTTTGGAGCTGTTGTCTCCCTCAGCTGACACCTTGTATTAGCATCCGGATCCGATATGGCGCGCGAAGCTGGACGAGATTCGCGAGGCGCACGCCCAGCGGCATGCCGAGGCGCCGTCAGCGACCGCAAAAAGCGGCTTCAGGGTGAACCGGCCCGTCCAGCGGACGGCGCGTGGCAAGCTTGTGCCCATCGTCCACACATCCCACGCGACAGAGGTTCGTTTTCGCTCATCCGCGGTGCGCCCACACACCAGTCGCCATACTAACTGCTAACACGTCGCGCAGGACTCCGTCACGCTGGAAGAGGTCGAGGGCGTCGACGCCTTCGTCCGCAGCCTCGACCGGCTCGAGCTGCCCAACCAGCTCGTCGCGGTGCTCGCCGACCCCTTACTGCAGAAGCTGCTCGTGCTGCGGCCCAGCGCCGAGGCGGACCGCCGCGTGGCCAACTGGCTGGCCGGCGTGCTGCGCGAGGTGGCCGACGGGGACGCCGACGAGGAGACGCTGTGGGAGGTGCTCGAGGTGGTGAGGGAGTATGTCGCGCAGACGAAGGCGCTGCCGCCGGTGCTGCTGAGCTTCTTTGCGCGCTTCTTGGAGCTCTGGGGCGGCGAGGGGCGGCGCGACCTCGTCTTGGACATACTCGCCTACACGCCGCTTCTCGACTTTCAAGGTATACGGACGCCCCTGCTGATCGCTTCTCCTTGATGCCTACACGGTCGGGTGATGCTGCTGGACCCTGTATCGCTGACCTGTCAACTTACGCAGAGCTCTACCCGCACATCTTCCAGCCCCTCGAGGCCGCCGTGCAGGACAACTCGCCCGACACGCTCCTCGCGTTGCTACGCCTCTACACGAACCTCCTCCATCACTGGGTTACCATCCTGCACTCGGCGTCGCCCGTCCCCGCGCACGCCGACGCGGCCATCACGGCCCTCGTGCGGCACGTCAACACGCTCGCCCTCACGCTCCTCCAGACCGCTGGCACCAGCGGTGGAAACCACAACGACGATACCAACGATCAGAGCAGCAGAACCAACAGTGTCGCAATCGAGTCCGCCATCCTCACCTTCTACGAGCAGACGACGCCGCTCGTCACACACCCGACCCTCCGGCAGTACGTGCGCATCCAGCTGCCCCCCTCGACGCTCGTCTACGACCTCTTCTTCAGCGCCTCCCTCGCCTCCGTGTCGCGCCTCTGCCGCATCCTCGCCGCCTACAAGCGCGGCTTCGAGACGGCCATGACGACGCGCCCCGCGGGACGGCGCGACAGTTCCGCTCGCGACAGCCTTGGCGGCCCTGGTGGTGGTGCCGCCCGGCTCATCGACGCCTCCACGTACCCCAAGACCTACGTCAACGGCTACAACGGCTTCCTCATGGACATGTGCAACTGCCTGTGGCGCGCCCGCGCCTTCGGCCTCGCCGACGCCAACTCGCGCGGGTGCCTCGTCGCGCCCGCCGTGGTCGCCGCGCTGACGGCGTACGTCCCCGCCGTGGACCGCGCGTTTTCCCTCGCGTCGCTGCTGTCGCTGTCGCACGCGCCGCTGCTGGCGCGGCAGAGCATCCTGCGGGTGCGCGAGCTCGAGGACGAGGCGCTCGACCGTGGTGGTGGTGGTGGGAGGGGTGGTGACGACGACGAAGGGAGCATCCGCGCGCGCCACGCCGGGCCCGTCACGCAGGACAGCCTCGCCAAGCTGGCGGCCGCGGGCGGGCTGCGGCTCAGCTGGCAGGAGTACAGGATCGAGGTGCTCGAGGCGCTGAGCGCGCGGGGGCTGCCCGGCGTGACGGAGCTGCTCAAGAATACCATGACGGTGCTTAAGAATTCCATGGAGGGGCGGTCTGCGGTGTCGCAGGGCACCAGCTCGCAAGCTACGGCGGCGTCGCAGAGGACGGCGTCGCAAAGAACGGGAATGATGGGGACACCGTCGCAATAGCACTGGTAGTGAAGACACGATGGGAAAGCCGTTACCATGAAGTCAACCGGGCAGACACGATGAGAACGCAAAACGTAACAGCGTCAACAGGGCAGCAGCCGTGGCTGCCGCTGATTTGAAACTGTCATCTAGATCCGGCCCCGTCGAGTTGAAGACGGGGCCAACCCCTTGCACGCCTCCCAATGGTTGAATACAGGGTATCATGAGAATATAACCCGAGCGAGCCGCCGCCGCCGCCGCCGCCCTTTCTACCGTGTGCCCACATGTGCAGGGTTGAGGCCTGCCGCTTCCTCGTAAAATTCCAACAACGCCGCGCACCGTTGAATGATGTGCCCAGCCGTGTTAAACAAACCAAAAGATAACACCCATCTTTCGCGCCATGTATGCAGTTGAGTGCCGCCGTTATGCCCGCTTTCCCGATTTTTGTGACCCGCCGACCGCCGGCTGTGTTAAACAGACGCCAAGAAAGATGTAGTTGAGAGTGCCGACAGCCTACTAAGTCAGGCCGTCTAGCCGAGATGCAAAAGATGAAAGAGACAAAGAAGAAGAAAGAGAGGCCCGTCAGGACGTCAAAGGAGAAGGGGGTCTACACCTCGGACTGCTTCGACTCGTCGCCGTAGCCGCCAATCTTGATGCCGCCAAAGCCGTACGTCTTGCCCTCGGAGCCGAGGCCGGCCTGGCTGCGGGGCCCGCGCTCCTTGAGGTCGCGCTTGAGCCAGCCAAAGACGAGCTCGCCGAGACGGCTGTTGCCGGTGTGGCCGACGGTGCCGTCGATGGAGGAGAGCATCGTCTCGGCCTCGTCCCACTCCTTGACGGTGCCGAGGTGCATGTGGACGAGGTGGGTGGGCCAGCCGGCGAGGTTGTCGAGGATGTGCGTGGCGTAGACGATGGTGCACTCGCGGGACTCGGTCTCGCGCTTGAGCCACTCGAGGAAGCTGGCGCGGCTGAGGACGTCGAGGTCGACGGTGATCTCGTCGAGGAAGAGCACCGTCCAGGGGCGGAGCAGGCCCATGGCGAGCTGGACCCTGCGGCGCTCGCCGTCGGACACGGCGTGCATGCGCCAGTTGGTGTCGATGTCGAGCATCTCGACGAGCTCGTCGCGGCGCTGGGGGTAGGCGTCGCCGCCGACGGAGCGCAGCAGCTCGACGACGCCAATGTCGTTGCGGACGATGGGGTTGAGCACCCACTCGAGCCCCAGGTAGGTGACGCCCTCGAGGCTCTCCTTGAAGGGGTCGACGCCGCAGATGGAGATGGTGTTGCTGGGCGCGAGGCGCTTGCCCGCGAGGAGGCGCAGCAGCGTCGTCTTGCCCGCGCCGTTGGCGCCGATGAGCAGCGTGCGCGAGCGCGGCGGCAGGTCGAGCGTGATGTTGCGGACGCCCGTCGAGTAGTCGGGGAAGGTGTACGAGAGGTTGTTGACCTGCACGCGGGGGGGCTTTTGGGACGATGACGAGGAGGAAGCCATGGCGGGCGACGATACTGGAGGGGAGTCTGGCTCTTCGGGCGGGCGTGGGAAGGAGGAGTAGTTGGCGGAGGCGAGGAGGAGAGGCGGCAGCAGTGGAGTGGAAGTTGGGGTGGATGGGCCGAGAGTATCGAGACCGGCGGGAGGAGACAGCTCGCTATATATATATGAACACCGGCGGCAGCAATGGATCGTCTCGGTCCGGCGACCGGTTGACTGTCCAGGCTCAGAAACGGCGGGTAATTGACCTATTGCGGAGTCGCTGCTGAGCCAAAAGGACGACAAATTCTGGCGGTGGTGGTGGTGCTCGGGGTGGCCCCATGCCGTGTATGGATGGACTCGGGGTTCGGCATTGGGTCCTTTTTTCTTCTCCCAGAATCGACGGTTGCCTCAATTGGCTTTGGTCAAGAAAATGATTGACGCATCCATCGATTCCGTCCATTGATGAAGCACGCCCTCCGTGCAGCCGTGGGTAATGGCGGGGTAATTGATGGCCTGTCTGCAGTGCCCGCCTACCCAAGCAAGACACCTAGGTCAGCGTGCACACCGCCTGAGGACTCCCATCAAGCGCCCGTTGCCCGACGTCTAATACCAGCGGGGCCAGCGGCGGCCGACCCCTACAGTTAGTTCCAGGTCGCCCGCGGCCCCGCCACGCAACACCCGACCCGCAGTCGCGTTACGCGGGCTTGCGAGCCACCTCTTTACGCGTCTCACAACCTCAACCTCACCCTCGACCGGTGCCGCTGCCAGCTTCAACGACCCCAGCTCGGTACGGCCGCCACCGCACAGTCGCGCGCCATGGTCACCCTCGAAGATGTCTCTGGGAGGTTGCTTCAGAAGCCCGGGTATGCTTGGTCTCCCCCCTCTGCGCAGTCACCGTAACTGACCATGTCCGCAGCGACGTGCCGCACCAGGTCCCGCTGCGGGCGCCCTCGTCGTACAAGCCGCTCGACTCCTTTGCACTGAACAAGCAGCGCACCTACCAGCAGCAGTATGGCGACATGTACTTTCTACGCCTCACAAAGATCAAGCCCGCCGTCGATGAGGTCGCGGCGGCCACCTGGGATGGCACCGTCATTGGCGGCGAGGAGGCCAAGAAGGTGGACCGCGTCCTCGACGTGCGCCAGGGCGAGCTCTGCTGGGTCGCCGGCACCGTCTACATGGAGATGGCGCTCAAGCCCGACATTCTCGAGGACGTGTCCAAGGACGTAAGTAGCTTGCCTCTGCTGGACTCGGAAGACTGACTGACGGCTGTGCTGACACTCCGTTAGCGCTGGATATCGGCGCCCGTCTCGACGCAGCGCTACTACACCGACGAGGAATCCACGCAAATCATGTTGGAGGACGATTCGGGCCGCGTCAAGCTGGTCGGCGACATGCTCAAGACTGTGCCCCTCGTCACCGGCTGTATTGTGGCCGTCATGGGCACCGAGAACACCAGCGGCGAATTCGAAGTCATCGACATCAAGTTCCCCGACCTGCCTCCCCAGCCGGAGCGCTGGGCCGAAACGAAACCACCTGCCACGAACGGCCACTCCAAAGTCAAGGACGAGGATGAGGAAATGACGGAGGCGTCGCAAAAGCCCGGCAACAAAATCGCCATCGTGTCAGGGCTGTCCTTCTCAGGCGCGGACTCTTCCTACGCACTGGAACTGAACCTGCTGCTCGAGTACCTGCTGGGCGAGGCCCTTGGTCCTCCGGTGCAAGACCAGGTCTCCCAGATTAGCCGTCTCATCATCGCCGGCAACTCCATATCCACCGCCGCAGAGCCGAAGCTCGGCGACACGGCCCAGGAGAAGCGGGTCAACAAAAAGTACGGCTACGACGCCAGCTCGTACAACGCCCTGCCATCACAGCTCTTTGACGAATTCGTCTCTGAGATACTCCCCTCCATGCCCGTGACGCTGTTGCCGGGCTTGCACGATCCCGCCAACGCCAGCTACCCGCAACAGCCCATCCACATGGCCATGCTCTCCTCGGCAAAGGAGTACAGCCGGGATCCGTCAAAGCCCGGGGCCGAGCCGGGGTGGTTCGACTCCGTGACGAACCCCTTTGAGGCGGAGATTGACGGCTGGAGAGTCCTGGGCACCGGCGGACAAAACGTGGACGACGTGTTCAAGTACATTGACAGCGAGGACCGGTTAGGCATGATGGAGGCAATGTGCAGGTGGCGGTGCTGCGCCCCAACCGCACCAGACACGCTATGTGAGACTCACTCGTAGTCAACGTCTTTCATCTGGTTGCTGACAACGTTGCAGGGAGCTACCCATTCCAGGAAGACGACCCCTTCGTCATGAAGACGTGCCCGCACGTCTACTTTGTCGGCTGCCAGCCCGAGTTTGCGACCAAGGTGATCCACGGCCCCGACGGACAGACGGTCCGGCTCGTCACGGTGCCGTCGTTTTCGGAGACTAAGGAGATTGCGCTGCTGGACACGGAGACGCTGGAGGTGACCAAGGTCAAGATTGAGGCGGATATATGATGCAGATACATGCCGGGGAGGGGTGTATGCACTGCTGCGGCGTTAGGGCGGCATCTCGGCCAAAATACCCCATTTGGCTGAGAGGGAAAAAGTAAGAAAGGAAGCAAATTAGTGAGCTCGTTGTTAGTGAAAGATAGCAAAGCTATGATAAGGTATCGAGGCAAGGCCCCTCTTCTCACCGAATAGTCTCTCTGCCGTGCTTCGTTGCTTTGAAGCGCCCAAAATATGCATACTCCGTAG